AAAAAAAAAAAAAAAAAAAAAAAAAAAAAAAAAAAGAAAGAGATATGCAATGTATGCACACATATGTAGAGCTGCTGCACATGTGCACCGAGAAGACCACGCAGAACATGCTTAGTGTAAACACTTCTTTCCACCTTCTTATGAATAATCATGTAAAACTCCCCATAAAGAGGGTTTCTCCACCAATAATTAATGCTTTCTTACCCTTATGAGCAGGCTGCTCTGGAATTTCTTTATCAGAGTGTACCATCTATTCTGCATTTAATTTTCAAAATAGTCTTTTTTTTTTTTTTCCAATAAATTACTCTATGTTGTACTTCTTTTGCTGTGTGTTTTAAATTGTTTAAATTCTTTTAAACTAAGAAGATAAGAACCAAGGTATTACATCAGCCATCATCATTTCTGGTGCCATGGCCCGGTGAGAGGTTTGTCCACTTCATTAATTTCACTTTCCCTTTACTTGCCTTGAATACTATAGCAGTTCCAGACTACCTGGTTAACTATCGTTGCTTGTTCCAGTGCTGTTTCAGTAAAGTTCCGAGGGAAACGTTTTTTAAGTCACCAATATTCTTTAGAGAGAGAATATAAGTCTGATCTCCTTTTGACTGCTACTTCTGTACTATCCACAAATACACTAATCACATCGGTCACTGTCAACATTTCATATTCGGGCTAGGTTGGTGCTTAGTTTCACATCTTTCTGGCCACAGTTCAGACTCAGCTTATCGTTTGCTGAGTAATACTCGCTTCAGTAATATCGATCGCCACCTAGTGGCTATTGTAATTTATTTTCTGATCAGGTTTTCTGTATACAAAATTTTTGTTTTGTTTTGTTTTGAGGGGCAGAATAAGACCCTGTCCCTTCGGGCTTCATGCATTTTCCAGCTCCTTGACATTGTTCTTCAACAGGCTTTCTTTGCTGAACAAAAAGTGCAGTCATGTAGTTGCTCGGTCGTGGGGATTGCAACTGAGCATTCCAGGTATTAATAATTGAGCATCACAAATGGCAAACCGGTGAATTAAGAAAAGGCTTGTCAGCGAGACATCTGCCCCACAGCCAGCAGTAGGAGTCATCTCAGTAGGGCTGGAAATGTCTAGCACTGGCGAGAGGTAGGACAGTGTATGGCAAATGCCTATGACCTCCAAGAGCTTTAGTTAGTGGGTTTTGAAGGGATGCTCTGGACACCTTGGTGGTTCCACTTGGCTCGTCGCCTCCTGGATTTCAGTACATGTTCTGTCGTTGCGGGATTCTCTCGGCACTGTGGGGAGCCTTTACCTCTACTGTCATCGAAACCACTGAGATGTTATTGGAACGGCTTTTGGCTAGATGAACTAGAAAAAAAAAAGAAAGCCTTATCTTCTTTTGTAACACTATTTAGCCTGTGTACAGATTAGCTGATAATACATGACTGGAGAATGAGACTGTGAACTTTAACAGCATCCTACAGCGAGATCTCTTCTGTAGAAATCAGGGAAAATGGTCTGAAGTATCCTATGTGAAAGACTTTATGGCCTGAGAACAAAACCCAGCTCTATGCAGCACCTGTGGGCTAAAGCCTAGTAAGCAAGAAAGCCTCTCAGACCCATTAGAAGACCCATTCTTATTAAGGGGAAGAGGCCCCAGACCCCAGAGCCCAACACCAGCTCCAGATAGGGGCTCTCAGGAGCCCACACCTTTAGAATCCCCAGCATCCCGCACATTATCAGAGTCTTCTGTAGAATCTAATCTTGTTTCACCTCCTTTTTATGCTCTTCCTTAAAGGCCTTTGCCAGGAGCAGTAGAGACCAGCCCAGCTGCAATACTCATGGGACTTAATACCATCCAGGGCCAGCAAAATTGCTCTCCCTGCAGAAAGTCCCAAATGCAGAGAGGACCATGAGAGTGCATGTTCTATTCTCAATAAATGATCTAATCCAATGTAAGGAACAATTCTGATGGCTCTTAGAGAACTTCAGTGCGTTTACTGAAGACTTCTTTGTCTGCCATTCAGCTTTATCATCCATAAATAGACCCGATGACTGCCATCAACTTAGCTACACAAAACTTTTGTTTATTGGCAAAAAACAGAAAACACTAAAACTTTCACTGCTTTCACCACTTTAATGCAAAATACTTTTGCAGCACAAATGTCACTATAAGGTGGAGCCTTGGAAATCTAGTATAAAGGATCTCAGGAAACCACAATGGCTTCCCAACAAGCAGCAGAGGGCCTCAGTAGACCAACAACATCTGTACTCCATGGCCACTGTAGTCCTACAGAATCAAAGAGCCTGGGATCTTCTCATAGCCAGGCTGTGAGGAACACGTTTATATCTAGAAGGAGAATGCTGTTTTTGAGACCAATTAGTCTGGTTTATTCCAAGAAAATAGTGATAACATCATCACACAAACAGACAAAATCAAATCTCTAGGAACTTCCATTGGAACGTGAAAGCCATGTCTATTACCTGCCTTGCTCTCTTTAATAGTATCAGTCATTACTATACTTTCGGCTTTAACTTTTGTTCCAACTTTGTTTAAAATGTTAACTGATTTCTTGCTGTCTTGCTTACAGCAGTTCCTTTTTTGCATGATAGTTTTGCAAGGCATTCAACCTTTGGCTGCCAACATCTTACCCACTGGTTCCATAAATGACATGGTTTACACCCTGTTAGATCACACGGGAAGAAACTTTAGGGCCCAGGCTTGACAGAAATAACACCCACTTGGTAGAAAACAGCTCCAGAAAAAATGACCTAGCCCCTCAACCTCCAATGTGATTATGGCCCTAAGATCTCTTAGGGGGAAATTGAAGCAGAAAAGATAGTCAAGAAACTAGCCATGATCTCAGGGTACAGAAACCGTGGTGACTGCACAGCCAACACAATAAACCTTAGCATTCCCATTGGGCTTATTCAAGCAAAGCTATCTTCATTAAGGACTTTCTGCTCTAGAGAGCATGTGCGTTTTGATTTTACCTGTCCTCAAACTTAACTTTTGCTTATTTTAATGGCAAAAAATGCAACCCCCAGTCAGGCACAGTGGCTCAGACCTGTACTCCCAGCACTTTGGAAGGCTGAGGAGGGTGAATCACTTGAAACCAGAAGTTCGAGACTAGACTGGCCAACTTGATGAAACCCCATCTCTATTAAAAACAAACACCAGCCAAGTATGGTGGTGCATGTCTGTAATCGTGGCTACTCAGGAGGCACAAGAATCACTTGAACTCAGGAGGCGGAGGTTGGAGTGAGCGGAGATCACTTCAGCCTGGGCAACAGAGGGAGACTCCATCTCAAACAAGCAAACAACAAACATACACTCCTGGCTGGAGATCTAAGTTGCTAATGAAACATACAACATATGAAGAAACATGTAAAGCTACTGCACATGTGCACTAAACTAAGAAGGTAAGAACCGAGGTATCACATCACCTGTCAATACAGCAACATGTCAGTCTCTTTCCGGTGAACAAAGCCCATGCAGAAAAGGAGAGCCACATCACCTGTGTGCTGACCCAGAGAAATGTCACAATTTATCTTATGCACAAATTTAAGGTAATAGAAGAGAGTCATATTAAATAGTTTCTGGGCCCAGAGATATGTCACAATGCCTCCTGTGAGCAGAGATCAGGCAGAATAATTACATAACCAGTATGCTGGACACAGAAATAAGTCATTCTTTCATCTGTGGGCATGACCCGGGCAAGAAAGAAGAGTCACGGCATTTAGGTGCGTGGTGCAGAGGTGTGTAACAATCTCTCTTATGGGCAAAGCCCAGGTAAGAGAGAAGAGTCATCTCGCCAAGGTGGTTAATGTAGAACTATGTCACAAGAAACTTTTTAGGTATGGCCCATGCAGAGTCTCCTTATCTTCTAGATGTTAGGTCCAGGGATATGTTAGAATGCCCAAAATACACAGAGCTTAGTCAAAAAAGGAGAGTCACATCACCTAGGTGCTGGGTCTAGACATATGTCACATCCGTTTTATGGGAAAAGCTCAGATAGGCTCAGAGATATGTCCCACTGCCTCCTGCTTGAAGTGTCTAGGCCAAAGACTCACATCACCTTGGTGCTAGGCCCATGTTCATATGTAAACATTCAACCACAGTTGAAAGGGTGACTCATTTCTTTTTTTTTCTTTCTTTCTTTTTTTTTGGGACAGAGTCTCACTTCGTCGCCAGGTGCCAGGCTGGAGTGCAGTGGCGCAATCTCGGTTCACTGCAATCTCTGCCTTGTGGGTTCAAGCAATTCTCCAGCCTCAGCCTCCTGAGTAGCTGGGACTACAGGCAAGCACCACCACACCCAGCTAATTTTTGTATTTTTTTAGTAGAGACAGGATTTCCCCATGTTGGCCAGGATGGTTTTGATTTCTTGACCTCATGATCTGCCTGTCCGGCCTCCCGAAGTGCTGGGATTACA